GTCCCTCACGAATTTCCTCACAGGTAGGTCTCTCGGTTAGCCCTCAGCCAAACAAAATTGCGAATCTAGCCTACCGCTGTACTATACAGCCTCGCTGTTAATCTCGGCAGTAGCAATCAGCAAGTCATTGCAGGCTTACCCTCCCCGGGAGCGAGGACCTCGGAGCTAGGGATGTAGGCGAGGTGAACGACAAGGAAGGTTTCCCTTCTGAACCGCTTCATATCGCAGGACAATTGACTTCGCTGTCTTGAGAAGTTCCCTTCTATAGAACCATCTGCTCTCAGAAGGAGGCTGGAATGCGAACCTCACAAGATACTGCCGATCGGGGCCTGTGCCCCACTCATCCTCAATCCGTTCCACGTCATATCCCTTGCCAGGGATCTGTGGACCGAATTGAGGGGGCCGGTCAGCAAATGCATCAGCTGGAGTGAAAGGTAGCAGCTTAGATGCATGAAAGACCGGGTAGGTGCGTAGATGCAGCGGGACGTCGATAACATATGACGGACCGAAGGGATCAGCGCCCACTGTATCTAGGACCTGCCATGGACCCAAGTAACGTGGCAACAACTTGGGGGAGATATCCTCCTCCGTCAACAGCTCAAAACTGGCCACCCAGACATGATCACCAGTACGGATGGGGGAAGGCCGCCTGTGGCGATTAGCTTGTTCAACCATAGCCTTTTGGGCTTTGAACAAGTTCGCGCGGGCTCTTTCCACATTTAGACGATAACGTCTGGTGAACTCTGTTGTGCTTGGTGTCAGATCAGGCTTAGCCTTATCGATGATGTCATCGAGAGGCTGTCGTGGTTCACGCCCCCAGTGCAACCGGTAGGGACTGACGCAGCAATTGGAATAGGACTTGGTTCATCACCTCAGCCTGACCATTGGCTTTAGGATGATGACCAGAGGTCATGTCCAATTGTGAGTGCAGGTAATCCTTACAATAGGACTGCCACTCATCGCTGCAAAATCTGAGGTCTCTGTCACTGACGATAGAAGCGGGCGGTCCATGGTGAGTGACCCAACTCTCAGAAAAGGCTGCTCTCACAACCGGAACCCTAGCTATCTCTGGCAAGGGGATGAACTCTGCGTATTTGGAGAACCTGTCAACGCAGAACATAACCTGACGCATGCCACGAGGGGTGGTCTTGACTAAATCTGTGAAATCTATCGCCACAGATTCAGCAGGGCCATCAGGTATGGGCAAGGGTTTGAGCAATCCCAAAGGAGGTCTACGGTGGACCTTATTCCTTTGGCAGAGCTCACAGGTGTCCACATAACGCAGCATATCACTCCACATCTCCTTCCAGAAGAAGCACTGGAACAGGGCTGCATAAGACTTTAGGAACCCAAAATGCCCACGAGCGTCATGACACTCTGACATCAGCAGTGTCCTGAGCCACTGGTCCTGAGGAATGCACAAGCGTTCCTCCCCTCTGCTGTAAGTATACAGCAGGTCTGAACTCAAACCATAGCCTGGTTCAGAGTTACGATCTGCTTGCATATTCCTGACGATGGGTCTGAAAGTCTCATCCTGAGGCAGTAGACGGGCAATGGTCTGACGGGTCTCCTCTCCAAAGGAGTGAGTAGAGGAGATCAGAGCAAAAGAGTCAGGCCTACGAGAGAGGGCATCTTCTACCTTGTTGTAGCAGCCCTTCTTATGCTTCATTTCAAAGTCAAACATGTCGATGAACTGAATATATCGTGCCAACTTATTATTCAACTCTCCCTGGGATTTCATCCACTGCAAGGTGGAGTGATCTGAAAAAATCTTGAAGTGTCTCCCCAGGAGAAAGTATTTCCAGTGTTTCAGGGCACAGACAAGAGCGTATAGCTCTTTCTCGTAGATGGAGTCCTGGAGCTTTTGAGTCTTGATCTTCTTACTCATAAACTCTACAAGCCGTAGACCATTCCCATCATCCTGCTGAAGAACTGCCCCAATGCCATACTGACTGGCGTCATTGGTCAGGATGAATGGCAAAGTGGGGTCAGGTAACTTCAGCACAGGCGCACGAGTCAAGGCCTTCTTGAGTCGTGTGAAGGCCAACTGACAGGGAAGGGACCAAAGAAAGGGAGTATCTTTCTTTGTTAGGTTGGTCAGGGATGCAGCCACTGCAGAAAAGTTCCTGACAAACTTTCTGTAGTACGGGGCTAGACCCATGAAGGACCTGACATCCCTCACTGTCTGTGGCTGAGGCCACTCCTGAATAGCAAGAATCTTGGCTGCTTCAGGAGCCAGGCCATCTCCAAAGATTACATGACCCAGATAGATGACAGAGGGAACTGCAAAGGAGGACTTCTCTCTGTTGATCTTATAGTGGCTGTCACGTAATGACTGAAGGACAAGAGCCAAGTGCTCCGCATGTTCCCTGGCAGTCCGGCTGTATACCAGGATGTCATCCAGGTAGACCACCATGAACTTGTCCAGGTAAGGCCTGAAGATGCGGTGCATCTCTGTCTGGAAGGTGTCTGGGGCATTGCAAAGTCCGAATGGCATGACCAGGAACTCGTAAGTTCCATACCTGGTCTTGAAGGCTGTCTTGTAGACATCCTCCTCTGCCATCTCAATTTGGTGGTAGCCAGATTTGAGGTCGACTTTGTTGAACACTGTGCACCCCTGCACCATGTCCAGGAGGTCGTCGATCCTAGGAAGTGGCTCTGTACTCTTCCTAGTGATCTTGTTGAGACCCCTGTAGTCAATACACATTTTGAATTCGCCATTCCCTTTGGGTACAAAGAGAACTAGTGCACGGAATTCAGAAGTGTTGGGTCTAATCCAGCCCATGCTGATCAGGGTCTCAAGCTGCTTTCCGAGCTCCTCTAGCTCAGCAGGGGACATCCTGTATATGCGGCCCTTGGGAGGTACCGACCCAGGCAGTAGCTCAATGTGATGCTTGGTTGGCCGGTTGGGTAATCCAAAGGGCTCCTGCATCAGATCAGCATACTTGTCAACCACGTGCTTTATCTCAGGAGGACAGGAAACAGGGGGAGCATCTCTTTGCTTGACCAAAGCAATAAACAGACGCTCATGGTCGTACTGGCGGGAGAGAGAATAAAACTCCCTCGCTCTCAGGCAGTAGCACGATGTCTTAGGGTGGTGATCAACGACAATCATGCATGGCTGATACACACCCTGACTATTAGGTAGCTCAACCTTTGGTATTTGCCAGTCGATCCTTGGGTTGACTGCCTTCAGCCACTGCATGGAGAATAACAAGTCAAAGGGCAGCTCAGGGAAGATGTAGAAGTGCAGACTGTGTCTGACTTCTCCAGCACTGCGGAAGGTCACAGGGATACTCTTGACCTTCTCCCTGATGCTCAACACTGTAGAGTCACCAATCCTCACTAGCTGCGGCTGCTGCAGCTGCTGGACTTTCATGCCCAGATGCAGCTTTTTAACTGCACTAGGAGACATGAAGGTCACAGGGATACTCTTGACCTTCTCCCTGATGCTTAACACTGTAGAGTCACCAATCCTCACTAGCAGCGGCTGCTGCAGCTGCTGGACTTTCATGCCCAGATGGAGCTTTTTAACTGCACTAGGAGACATGAAGTTCCTGGTGGCTCCACAGTCCAACAACTCAGTGATCCTGGTGCGATTGATCAGGGGCCGAAGCATGATGAGATCAGACTTGCTTTTCTTCTGTTCCTTTAGATGAAGGAAGAAGGCAGCAAGGGCCTGAAACTCATCCTGCTCCGGGTCCTGATCCCGGTCAGGATCCTCATAACAGAAGGATGCTGCCCACGCAGTCCCCAAACAATCTGAACCTGTCTCAACTGAAACAGCTGCAGATTCACATACCTGAGTAAACGAAGGTGCAACACTGGGGGGAACTGCACTCCCCAGGGTTGAGTGCCTTGGGCCTGGCATGTAAGGGCAGTCCTTCAGAAAGTGTTGTCCCTCACATCTCAGGCAGACCCCTCGCTGCTTCTTCTCCAGACTCCCTCCTGGATCTTGAGATCATGCCAGGGGAGAGTGGAGGGATTGAGAGGGTCAGCTGGCATCCGGACGTCTTTGGGGCTGATTAGGGCGCTGGGAAGAGGAAGGCCGACGTCCCTTTTCCTTCCCCTTTGCACTGGCTGAGGCTGTGGTGGGGGAAAACTTCTTCTGCTGCTGCAGAACTCCCAAAACAACCTGAGTCAGGGCTGCTGCAACATCTGTATCAGCAGCAGATCCAGTCCCAGCTGAAGGTGTATCAGCCTGGGAATCTGAATCTGAACCTGATGCAGATCCCGCTTGAGTGAAGGCTGCCTTTCCCTTTCTACCACCTCTAGGGAAGGCACCTTTCCTCCTGTCAGAGGATGGGGCCTGAACATGAAGCTTCGTCTCCATGTCCAGGGCTGCACGGCCAAAGGACCTCCAGTCCTTGTGCCCAGCGCTATACAAGTCCACTGAAAACTTCTCAGGGGCTGCCCTGCAGAAGTTTGTCAGCAGGTCATTTGCAGACATCTCCAGTCCTGGTGTGGAAGTCAACTGCTCGAACTCTGCAAACAAGGATTGCAGGGAGCCGCTCTAGCGCTGCTGTCCTAGGCGAGCAATCATGTCAGCAGCTTTGCGGGCCTGCTCCTTGTCTGCAAAGCGGTCTTCCAAGGCCTGCAGAAGCCTGTCCACTCCCAACCCCAAAGCCCAGTCCTCCATAGTTTGCTGCAGACTGTTGGAGGTTGAAGTAGCCCACTTTTGTGCGGGCCCCTCCAGCAGTCCCAAGACGGTTGCCACCTTGGTCTATTCTGGGCAAACAAAGCCCCTCAAGTAGGCTCTGGTCCCTGCAGCCCAATCCCCAACATCGGTCTTGGGGTCATCACCCCCGGACTTGTTGGGTGGAGGGATCTTGGGACCTCTTTGATCTCCTGCAGTAACAGCAACATAGGTGGCTTTGCCTGAGGCTCGTTGGGACTGAGGTGGTGTCTGGGAAGAATGCACTGATCCAGGGGGAGATGAAGAGAGGTAGAAGGAGGAGAAGGTTTGGGTTTTATCAGAGGGAGCTGAGGAGCAATCAGCTTGGCGGCTGACAACTGAGCAGTCAAGTTCTAAATTGCATCCAGAATCTTAAACTGCTGAGCGGCCAGGTTGTCAACCCAACGCTCCAAACGATCAAAACGATCATCTCAGTTCGTGAAGTGGGAACTGGTGATCTTGTGCTCCAGAATGATCATCTCTGCCAGGTGCTTAGTCACCTGGGCACAGCGGTCATCTGAGAGCACCTTGTCTAGCTGCTGCAACAGATGTTCTCTTCTGGAATAGTCTGTTGCAGCCTCTAGCTCAGCTGCCTCCTGACGTCCCAACTATGCAAGGCGGTCCTGTTGCCGCCGCAACTGCTCTTGCAACTCCCCCTTTTCCTGCTGAGTAGCAGTCAGAGGTGAAGGAGTGGAGGTTGAAGGTTGTTGACCTTCCACCTTCATCACAACTTCCACCTGTGGCTGCTGCTAAGCCCCTGGTCAGACATTTTCCGTTTTTCAAAATAAAATCAAAATACCAAAATAAAACAGCAACGTGAGTGCGCAGCGATAATCAGATTTCTTCAGACACCCTGGAATCGCTGCAAAACGCAGACACTGGAACAAAGGGGTGTATAGGCAATCAGCAGTTTGGGTTGGAAGGGTGTCTCAGGGGTCAGGTGTCAGACAGACTGTAAGTCCAGCAAAATCATGCACACGATTTCCTTTTACTGGCCCTGCACCACTACTCTTCAAGAGACATTCTAGATTTCCAGAGCCCACTAGAAAACAAGTGTATTCAGTGAGAATGATAGATATGGTTAGTACTGACAAGAGGGATCAACTACAACAAGCGATGCAGACAGTCACCCTGTAACTTGACTCGGACTCACATTTAGACCCTGATGACTCTGGCGGCCATACCCTAGGGTATGGCGAAGTACAGCATCCACTGTATCCAGTGAAATACTGTAAATCCAACTATGCGATTCTGCAGTATTGTCTATTTTTGGATTGCGATTCACTGGGGACTGACAAAATGGAATTCTGACGGGCAGAATTGAAGTTGTGACTGACCCTAGTTAGCCCAGGTTATAAATAGACTCAGCGCAAAACTGCAATTCACAGTATCACTACCTTTCCAGTACAGAATTCACAGATTGAGTATCCCAAATCAATCGCAATGCAGTATAGCAGTCACAGAACAATTTTGGATCAGAAAGAGTAAACAGAGGGTTAGAAATGAGCAGAGAGAGGTAGGGGAGAGATGGCTATGGTTGTCATGCAGTTTGTGATTTTCACATCCAGTCACTGACAGACAGATAGACCATTATAATTGACTAATCTAATCCTATCTCGATAGCTATGCAGGTAGGTGCATGGAACGGACTCACTTTCAGAGAATCTTGCAGGTGTTGATGAAGATCTGGCTATGGCAGATGATGACCCTTATCTCGCCAATATCTTCCAGATATTCCTCTTGACAATCCCACGCATAGAACTGCTTCAAACTTGTTGATCCTTCTCAGGATCCTGTAGCGCTGCACTCCCTCAATCCAGATGCACTGGATCTGGTCCTGTGGTGCCCAGTATGCCAACACCAAATTATCTTGCCACAATGCCCGGCAGCCGCTGATGCTAAAAATAGCCCCAGATGGGGTTATTTCTTCTGGGGATTGATATATTTTATCAATCCTTGCCAGCGCTACCCAGGGATGATGCCGCTCAGGGTTCCCTGATGTCCTCAAGGGTAATTCGCCACTCTGGGTACTTCGCAACACTACCCTCAGGGTTGGCTATGGCGAATTAGCCCTGAACTCGCCACTTCCTGATTAGCGCCCTGACAGGCTCAGTGCGCTTGCTCAGTGCCACCACTGAACACCTGAATACACCGCTGAAAGTCTTCTTCCCTGCTGACTCAGTACTGTGGAAGACGAATCGCCATGAAGCTCTCGGCAATATATCGCCAAATGAAGAAGATCCCTCAGTGCGCTCAACCCTCAGTGTTCCAATTCCAATCCCGTTTTGATACCAACTGTTATGATCTTGGTTGTCTGACGATTTTTACCGCCAGGCAATGGAATACAGCTATGCACAGATGGGGAGAAGACACAGAGTGTTTCTCTCTCTCTGACAACCTCCCAACAACCAATCACAAGTAGAAC